CAAATTCAGATGGGAAAATTAGGTTCGCATTTCAGCAGTGATGACAGTTAACTGTTAGTAAAATACTCCTGAAGTCTGGGGGCTTCTCTATCAAGGTGTTAAAGCTGGACTTCAAAATAGATGGTAGCTCCAACAAGAAACTGTAGCTACATTGAAGAAATTGGTGGGTGGGACCCTTCAATCTAAATTATCCAGTGGCTCAAACAAGAACATAACAGTACTTTTGGATCTTTAAAAGAAAACAAAAATAAAGAAAGAAAGAAAAAAAAGAAAAATGGACAATAATGTAGCCAGATTTGTGGAATTTTAAGGCAGTAATTCAAAAGAGCTGCTGTAGGTTTTGTAAAGCCCATAGAAGGTAACCAGACAGCAAGCTCAAAAGAAGGAACAACAACTTTTCCTACACATCTTATATGTGAAACTCTTTGCTGCAGGATCCTGTAGGACTGTTAGAGGCATACCTGGAATTACTAGAAGATTAGACAGATGGAATAGCAATTCTAGCGCTGGATCTACTCAGAATGATAGCCTGGATGTAACTTTGATTTAGAAAGTCTATGTACCAGCTGTGTTTCACATATCCTTTCCTAGTAAGATTCCAGTTAAGTGCTGCTGAAGATATAAAATGAGCCCAAACAGACCTTTCATCTTATATACTATGGCAGTAATGGTCTTATGTGTGCTACAATCTATGACGAACAGAGCAAGTTCTGTGTAAAGTAAGAGAAGAAATAAGAGACATGAGTCATAAGAGAGAAATTGCATTATGCTCCAGTAGCGTATTCCCATATGACAAGTGGGGCAGGAAAATGGTGGACAGTGGGTATATTTATTTAGGTGAGGTGTATTAGAGATTTGCTATGACATATCTTGCTAAAAAGAAGTGCAGACTACTGAATGGTGGACACCTTCCTCTGAGTGAAACCTTGTCTTAATATGAGCTGATCAGTTCTTCCAGGAGAGCATTACAATAGTGATGAAATGCTTAAACTAATGCAATGAAGCACATAGAGAATAAAAGATATTGGCCTTCATTATTTCTCTTGACCTTATCTTCTGATCTTCTCCAAAAATGCCAAAACCACTGGCTGTCAAAATGATATGTTTAGCATGACTAAGGGAAACAGTCTTCCAAAAATAACATAAAGATTGATCCATGTTACAGACAGCTGGAACATTCATGGACTCCATAATTATATCATATTAACTAGGTTGCTAGGTTTTTTTTAATTAGAAGTTCTTGGTAACTTAACAAATAAGAAAAATTAATTTTGTTCATGCTCTCCGTTAAATACAAATAGTGATAATTACATAATTATATTGGTGTAATTTTGAAAATAAATTTATTATCCCAACTAAATGAATACATGCTTCTAAAATTGTAAGTTTGTGATTTTGTCTAACGTGCCTCATTTGCATGGATTCAAGTTGACGTGGTGTAGGAACTTTTTTGACGGTTAAAGGACGGATTACATTTGGAATGAAATGCAGAATAACCTCTGCCAGTGGAGACTTTGGACTCTGTACCCAGCTCCAAAACTCTTGGATTAATTCTCTCTGATCTCCGTAATTCCCAAAGTTTTGGATATCAGATTAAAATTATAATTCCATTTCTCTCCAACGAAGACACAAACCTGAAGTAACGTACAGTATACTAAGAAAAAAAAACCCCACAATTACAAATAAAGGAAGTAAATGACAATGATAATTCACAACACTGGTCCAGTTGGATCTACTAAAATTTCTATCTGTTTCAAAATTTATTTTCTATAAATTCCACAACACTTCTAGTGTGAAGAATCATTAGTATATTATAAAGTATGATTACAGTATTAATACTAAACAGCATTATATTATTAGTGTTTTTACCCAATCTATATAAACTTTCATTACCACCTCACTTTGAAACAGCACCTCTAGTTTTCTGTGCAGTAATTACCTTCTGTTTTCGAAATGTATCCACCTTTACAAATACTCATGATAATTTTTACCCACATGAACATTTTAACTATAGAGCAATTGAAAGCTAAGCATTTGCCTAACTATGAAATTAACTACTGAGAAATTTTACGTTCATCACTTTCAACATTAAAGGAGATGTAGTGAAATTACATTTTATCTGCATAGAAATGAATAGTTACAAAGCATTAAAGTCTTAAGTATCAGGATTCATTTTCCAAGTACCTTCACTGAGAGTTCTTATCACTGAAATCTTAATTTTTGCTTCTGTGACCTTCTTCACATAAGAATGTCAAATTGTGGATTACTTCTTTTCAGGTAGTTTGGGTCTCTGTGTTAACTCTCCTCCTTCTCTGTCTGAATACCTCTCTTTTTCATTATTTGGATCATTGTACATTTTTTTTCTGGTCTTTTAATATTTTCAAAACAGGAGCATATTCTATAGAGATACAGAGGAGAAATTCTTCCTTCCAAAGAGCTTTTATCCCTAACTGCTTTTTTTTTTAAATTTTCTTTTTAAAAAAAGTGTAACTTTCTTTAAGTTTTCTAAGACAAAAAGCATTGTTACAGCATAGCATGTTCATAATTATACTCGATTTTTTATTTTTTTTTCCACACAAAGAAATGATTCAGCTTTTCACTACGATTTTTGGGTAGTCATAGTTCAAGGTATTATTACTTAATGAAGAACAATTTAAGATCTGAATCTCAGAATCTTTTCTGTAATTTTCTGTTAGAAGTTATTTATGGCCTCTAGTCTTACAAAAAGTTAATGGAACTTACAGGCACTCTCAGAAACACTTTCCATGATTATTAAGTGAATATGATTTAACCTGCCATATTAATTTTTCAATATAATTACAATTTTCTATAATAAGTATTCCAAGAAGTCAGAAGCATTTAGCTGACTTAGAAGCAGGAAAGTTGAATTTCACCCATAAGCCTTCCACTAATTCATCCAGTGTCTTTAAAGCCAGCAGTTTTAAAAGCCAGAAGCTAAACTAAGGTACTGAAATACACTTCAGGAAAAGATTTACACTGACTGTAGGAGGCTCTGAATCAGTCCACAAATGATTGATTAGCAAAACATGCTAAATACTTCCACTAATTGCTTAAGTCAACAACAGATGGAAGAATTGGCATCAGTGGACATAAGGCTACTCCTTCGTATATCCAACGTTAGACGCACAAGTCCAAGCATTTGAGCTCAAGCCTTGTTGAGATCTGCAATCAGAAAACCAGGTCTTAAGGAAACCCCATCTTCATGTCTTATAGTGACAGTGCAATTCAGTTGTTCACTCATCAGCAGAGACAACCACACATACAACCTCTGTACATGCCCTTTCAGCAAGTCACACCATGTTCTGTTTCATCCCATCCCATTCTCCTTTCCAGCCTCTCTGCACCCAGCTTCTAACAAAGGGCTTCATCCCTAATAGGTAACCACTGTGGTTCCCAAATCAGCACATCCACACTTATCCAGGATCCTGTCTCTTTTCCCAACACAATCCCAAACATTACTGCTTTTTGGCCTTCTCCTTCTAGCTTCTCGATAGCCACATCTTTTGTCCCTGCTCCAAACCTGGGAGCAGGGGGTAGTGCCAATAAGAAAAGATCACCAGGATTTTCAATATGAGGAAACACTGTACTTCATTTTTGGCAGGAGCAGAACTACTTGGGCTAAATTTTTCCTTCTCACTCACATGTATATGTACACAAAAGATCCAATACAAAAAATAATATTTTGCCCCCAGAGAATTCAAATTGTGCTAGGCTGTGTCTGGAAAAGATATAAACAGCTGAAACTAGGATTTGTCTCACCATGGTCTCATCAAGAAAAATTGGCATTTGAAGATGAGAAAGGGGCTGGCCAAGAAGATAAGAAAGGGCTTGGACTACCCGGGAAGGAGAAATTATAGGCGCACTGACAGTTCTCCTGTGAAGTAGAGAAACATATGTAAAACCATTGTAGAAGAACAGGTTACTCCAGCAACTGGATATTAGAGAGCAGCAAATGAATTACTATTTCACAAGAACATGATGAACGCTTTCAGGATAATTTGCAAAAAACACCCACCCATCAGAATTTAGAAGTGTAAACTGAGGACATGTGTATCACTAAGATATTTGGAGAATACTAGCATTTTTTATTGAAGTTCTAGCTGCATCCAGATCTATGTAATACTAAAGAAATATTCAACATTTACTTTTTCTATTCTTTTTCGTGTGCGACAGTACAACAAAGCAAATGAGATAGCTAGTGCTAGCTACATTTGACTGCTTTGAAGAAGATATTTAGTGCCAACTAATACAAAAGTAACTGCATGTACAGTACGAATAACAAAACTAGTATTATGTTGCCTTAATGCATAAGTAAAGAATCCATTTCTGACCATTTTCCACACAGACCATTTGCCTAATGAAATCAGCCTTCCTTCCTCTTCAAAGCACTGCTTTGTATTATCATGGTTGGATGAAAATAGCCTTTTCACTGGCTCAAACCACTCCATTTCATTACCACAGTGTACAATCATAGTGCAAAGCAAATTCAGTCATACAGACCACCTGATGTTGAAATAAAAAAATCCCATTTGATTAGCTGAGTGAAAGGTACTATAGCTGCACTTTGTACAGCAGGCAAAATTATCTTAAACCCCTCATATGCTGAAATTGACAGGGATACTCAAACTGCACTTTGCTTGCATGCACTCACCAAGAGTAGAAAATACAAGGCTCAGAACACAAATAAGCCCTGGGGAGGCATTCCAGCACAAATTTTGCCCGCAGTATCAGTGACAGTATACATGGAACTATTTGGCAAATCCCTACACTATTGGGATGAAGGGGCCACTTCTGACCTTTGGAGGCATCTGCAATCTGAATGCAATGGCATTACAGCAATTCAGTGGAGATGAATATATTTCTTTGATTGCAGTATTAGTATCTGTCTTGAACATGACAGTTCATGTGCAAAATTACACAGCTTTTCTCAACCACTTGTAGTGGATGGATTTACTTTCTGAATTTTAAAATTAACAAACCTTTCCAGTCAGCTTTGAAAGATCATCTCCTCCCATTATCTGCATATCTTGCATAGACTGATCATTCTGAAAGAAAAAAGACAAAACTTTGAAACTGGATGTAGCAGTATAAAATAGAAGTATAAAAATATTAACGGTATTTTTATCTTTCACAGTCTTGGATACTGGATATTTGGATACTCAAATAATTATTAGCACCGATTTATGACAGAAAGACATTAATTCCTGTGGCTTCTACTATCTCCTGATTGTATTAACACTAAGATCAAGCTTCAGGATTCACTCAACCAGATAATATTGTTTTTTTGTTTTTTAATAAGTGATGTTCCCTTGGTTGCTCTTCCTTAGCATGAAAAGTGTAACATATTTGTCCCTTCCAAAACATGAGAACAGGCGCAACTCAACATCTGACAAAACACCTGTAAGTACATTCTTTTTGCAGAAGAGATTTTATAAACACAGACAAAAGGTACCTTTGTCTGTCACTCACACTCAGCTATGAAAGAAGAAATTCATTCACGCTTTTTCCTGGAAAATGTTTTGAAATTATCATTTTCTATGCAGAAAAGTTACAGCATAGATGTGTATGGCCATACAGTTTCAAGAGTTTATTTCTTCTTTTTCCACTAACATGAACATAAAATCCATGAGATCAATTCAGTAAACCAAAATACTGTCAATCAGTCAGAATGACCTTATCCCAGCAGAATAGTATGCTTCGATTTTCCTGCTAGGAAAGGTATCTACAAATAAATAAATAAATAAATAAAAACAACCTTCAGTAAAACTTTTTCTTTAGATATATTTGCTTTACAGACATTTGTAACTGATGTCAGCTCTGATGGAAAATTCTCAGACAAGCTCTAGTTTAAACTGACTAACAGCAGCACACAATGTAAATGAGGGAGGAAATTAAAAAATACGTAGTCACAGCAAGTCTGTATGACTTCCCTAAAGAAAGCAACAGCAAAATTAAGTATAATTAATACGGGTTTTTTTGAGAAATTGGTGCATGTGCTACTCTAATCTCCCTACTCACAAGAGATAGGGCTGGTCCACCTTTATTAGTAGCTGCAGTGCTACATGACCCTGCAGTTCACTAATAACCAATAAGCTTTACCATTACGAACAACTGCTGAAAATGTAACTTGAGAATATATTTGCTTTTTTTTTTTTTCATAAATAAACCCAATGCTCTGAAGTCAAATTTTTCAAAAATAACCAGAGAGACAGCAGCAGGAGCTCTGAGGTAGGTGAGGATTTCCTGGTGGACTGCAGGGTTAGCAGCAGGGTGGCATGGTTCCAGCCACATGCCTCTGCACTTCTCCTGTGCAGATGGGAGCTGCACCTGCTGGTGCTCCCAGCCCAGGCAGAGCCCCAGGGCTTCTAAAAGTGCCACAGCAGCCACTTGGTCACCAGCAATGCTACAACCCCAGCAGCCATGCATGGTCTCAGCAGCCTTCCTACGTAACTGTAAGCAATGCTTGCACCATGGCCCAGAGGAGAATTTGTCCAGGTTTGCATACTGGAGACCCACCAGAAGAATTCATTTTTGCTCCAATTCCACTCCCTTAAAAAAATCCCATAGCACAGCTTTGCACATCCATAGCAGTCATTGCCTTAAGAAGACAGAATGTAGCCCTGTCTTCACTTTTTCTGCAGCAGATATAGGAGCTCTAGATGTTTTTCATGCTGCTCTGATTCATTTCCTGGGAAATAGAGCTAGAGCTGGAATGAGAGTTACATCCATATGTCTTCTAATATAAATTCCAACATTTCTCTTATTTTTGCAAGAGTAACAGAAAAAATAACAAAGCAACTGATTCCTCAGAAGATTATTTTAAAACTAAATAGTAAGTAGAGGCAGGGAACATTTAAGTCTTAAATGCATAGGCCTTTTGTTGTAGAGCAGGCCAGGTCATTCTTCAAAAGTCAGGGACATATTCAGGTCAAGAGTAGTATTAGACTATAAAAAGAAGATTCTAATATCTATCATGGAGTGTGTAACCAAGGCAGTGACAAAATATTTTTTCATTTCCAAATGAGGAAGGCTAGAATTTCAGTAACAACCAACACACAGCAGTTGAAAGGGGCAGTTGGCCCTTGGTTGCTAGCTGAAAAAGAAAGAAAAAAAAAAGAAAAAAAAAGAAAAAAGAAAAAAAGGAAAAAGGAAAAAAAAGACCAGTGAGGTATAGCAATTAATGAATTTGTTTATTTTTAATTAAAAAAAAAAATCTCTTTCAGCAGTCTTCACAGCAACACTGTTTCCTCTGCATTTGGTATTTCTGGCTTCAGCTGAAAGGGAGATGCTTAAATAGCAACTTTATTACTGGTGAGCTGTTAAGCAAACACAAAAGCCATTGAGAGCCAGGGGATCAGAGCATCCCCTAGGCTGGGTATTTACACACTGGTGGCTGTAGCATAACTGCACACCATTGGAAAAATCCTTGTGTTCTGACTGGAGAATGATTGCTGTCAGAGGACAGGGCAGAGTGTTACTGTGTCTAAACACCATAAGAAATGCATCTCGGAATGCTCCATACAAGGTGCTTTCAAGAAATATGGAATAATGTCTAGCATCACAGGGTAGTTATTCTATTAGGAAAAAAAAAAAAAAAGTTTCATTGACTTCCATGCCATTTAGAACCATCTCTAAATTTATCAATTAATTCACAAAGTGAAATACATACCTGCCAAATAGCAGGTCTCAGTAACACAATGTCACATTAGAGTAATTGCAACATTCATACAGAGAATGTGCACACTACGGTTGCCATAGGAACCTCACAGTGCTTTTTCCTGAGTTCTCAGTTTATAATCTCAAAATAACACTGTACTAAATGTTAAGTATAAAGCACAATAAATGTCAGGGGAAAAAAAAAAAAAAAAAAGAGATCTGATTCATTCAGTACCTCTTGTAGCCCAATTCAGAACAGTTTGTTTAATTTTCACACTCTCAAGTCATTCAGTGCTCCTCTTTCCCTTTGGGAGACATTCCATATTTTCACACAACTGATACAACTGAGTCTACAGGGCTTCTAATAAATGCAAAGACATGAATTAAAGTTTACTTTCAGTATCCCAAAGTTCCTCAGTATTTGCTTTCTAACATATTTAACTGCTATCAACAACATTTTTGCTGTTAAATGCCTGAGACTAAATATAACATTCCAGATAGACATCTGAAAACCACACTGTGGTTTTGTTTGTGCAGCAAACAATGCGTTGCCCTTGTTCCCAACAAATCACAATGCATTTTGTGCTATCCCTACATCTCCTTGCATGCTTTATTTAATACAACATTTCTCTTTATTCCGTATTCAATAAATCTGCATTTTTTCAGGAAGAACTTCAATGGAGTTGTTCTACTTGCTGTGTTATGTTTTCTCACCTGTTCATCTTTGTTTTCTGATTTTATTTCCTGCACATCTTGTCATTATGTATCCTCACACCCTATGAATACTTAATGAGTGAAAGCTAGAATGCTGCAATTTCCACCACCATTTTTTGCAGCATGCAAGATAAAACTTTGACTTTCTATGTTGATTGAAGGTATAGATATTTAAATTCCATCTATACTAAGTCATGTCTTTTGAACTGGGCGAGGCACAGAATTATTACATCTCACTTACATCTCCTGAGATCAGCAGTTGGATACAGTTCAAGTTACAAGTGAAATGAGTTGGGTGGTCTCAGGAAAATTTATTATAAACAACATTGCTCATCTGAAAATTGCACCAAACTGTGAACATCTGTTACTCTGCAAAAGAAACAGAATCTGGAGTACATTAATACTGGGCTCAGTGAAACAAAGACTTTTTAACAAAAAAAAAAAAAAAAGAAAAAAAAAAAAGAAAGTAGTTCTAACAGTTTACAGTTTAAATGCATAACCACATTACAAAATGACACCAAGGCATTATCACACAGAACACATACAGTCACTATAGTTTGCACAGCTCATATGCAGCTTCTTGGGAAGAAATGTGATTACTTTTTTTCCATCTAAAATTCACTGGAGAAACAAAGGAACGTGACAATCAGAGCAGCTCACCAATGGGCTTGTCCTACACATCCACTAAGCAGAGCAGAGTTCAGTCCATACATTCACATAGGCCTCCCCACTAAGCTTGTCATTAACAGCACATGATGCGCGTTACTGCTAAGCTCACAGGGTCATCCATCACCTTCAGTAAAGATAGAATTACCCTGTCCCTAATTTAGGCATCTGAAAGTCAAAATCTATGAAACTCATCTTGGGCTCCCATTGTAATCACTGGAGGAAGCCAGATAGATCAAGGAAACCCTCTATTTCACCTCACAGGCAATCTACAGCAAATAATTCACACCTAGATGTCTAATTGTCAGACATCTGAAGTTAGGTGAAATTAATCCCAGCTCAGTAGACTGAGATCAATATTTTCATCCCATAAACCTCACTGAGCATTCAGAAAAAAATTATTTTCAATCACATTTACTGCAGGCATATAAGAAGCAATGATCTTGACTACTTTCCACTACTAACATTCTGAACTCTCCACTTTGGATCTTTCACACAAACAATTAATGCAATTCCCTTGGTACTAACAGGATAATTTGCTCGTGTGTTTACTCAAAAGTTTCATTTTAACCACAGCAAAGTATATTGGAGGAGAGATATTAAAAGGTACAACCAGTCTAGGACTTCTCTTTGCATGTAAAAAAAAAAAATTAGCAACCAAACTAGTCTTTGCAATATTTTTTTTCAAAAATATTATCTAGGATGATTAATAGGACTCTACAATCTAGATTTCCAAGATTATAAATATAAATTTACCCATAGTGTTTACCCACTGAATACCAAAAACAGTTGGATTTCATTTGTGTGGGGTTCATTATCTGGAAGAACAGAGTCTTAAAATGTCTCAGTACAACAATAACTTGTGTTTGATACCAGAGAAAGGATAGCAGCTGGGCTGGATGTGTAGTAGTTCCTCTAAAGGCAATTGGAATAGCTACATTTTGATTGGCACTGAGGGAACAAGGTGGATGGCACTGAAGTCAAAGGGGAGATGACATTTGCCAGGGTA